AAGGGGGGGGCTGCCACGGCATTGGCTGCGTGCGCAGGCGCGGTGTCAAGGGGGCGTGGCTTGGTCGTGGCTTGGGCTGGCGAGTGTCCGTCTGCCTTAGGCAGACCCTTCCCAGGCTGGGCGGGGGGAGCGGGCTGGGTTATGCCCGTGCGGAGCGAGGCGGGGGGGTATTGGGTAGGCCAAAGCCCCACGTTGGGTTTGTGAGGTGTTTCAGGTCCCGACGGCAGGTGCTCGTGTGAGGGGTGATGGAAGAAAGTCCCCGTGGGGGGAAACGAACGCAAGGCTGTTGGCTCGAGTGACCCTTAGCGCCAGTACGCGCGCCGACAGTGCTTGCGTCATTGCTTTAAAAAGTCTGTCAGGTTTAGAAACTGTGGCGGAGGAGAGGAGATGGCGGCTTCTTTCCGCGGCCAGTCGCGCGCGGGGAAAGGCGACGCTGAGAAAGGATTTCTGAAAGCAGTGGTGATGGTGGAAACCGCGATGGAGCCCGTCAGGTGAAATACTGCTGAGAGAAAAGAGAGGCACGCGAAGGTCCGTTAAGTCACGTGACAAGAGTGAGGTACAGAGCGGGCATCTGGGCAGTTAGCACTGCAAAAAGGCAAAATTAGTCCAATGAATTTTTAACAACAAATATCGCTTCAATAAAAACTATGAAAACATTTATCTCGTGAAATACATAAATCCACACTTGGGGACTTAAAACAGCTGTAAATACACAAATCAGAAAGCCATTTAAAATGAAGTGTATTTTTTTTTCTTATAGCAATCCTTTCAACTGTTTGTTAGCATTAGTCTTTACAAATGAATTCATTATGTGTCTGTGCCTGATTTTCCACCGTTTTCAGCGCTTTTGGAAGGGTAAGGCCCCTGTGGGTTCAGTGGGGCTCCTCAAAACGGTGATGTGCAACAGCAAAGGGAGCCTTCAGAGTGTTGGCCCTTATGCTGTGGTGCTTTGGCCGTTTTAATTCACAATGTTCAGTTTGCTACACGAGCATTTGGTGTTCCTATATGAAAATCCACTTAAAAACTGTCACTACGTTACAACAGTAAATTACTGCAGAACAGAGACAAAAGGGAAGGCACTCCAGTGTGCATTGGCAACTGGAATAACAGCAACTGAGGGGATGAGGAGTGAGCAAACCTGTTTTACGGGGAGGTTCCTGGGCCCGCGGGTGGGCCCAGTTCAGCCTGGCTCGGCGGGACCCATGGCCAGGCAGGGCAGGGCCGTGGGGAGCTGGAGACCGGCCCTGCTGTGGGGTCGCTGGGGCAGGGGCCAACGGCCCCGGGGGCTGACGTGGGGTCCTGGGCTGTGGGGAGCACCAGGGGAGGCCAGGCAGCAACAGTCAGGCTGGTGGTGCCCTGAGGACGCTGATGGTGGTTCTGCAAGCACAGCGTTACTGCTGGCAGGTTCTCTGGCAACTGTCTGAAGAAATTGTTCTGGAGGTGGCAAAAGAGCTAGTTTTGCTCAAAGGAGAAGGAAAGTCGTATTAGTTCAAAAAGCTTAAGGCCAGACCTGGATCACCTTGGGGGCAGCTCCCCACACGTCCCCACTCTAATGGTCTCTGGCTGGGAGGACAGCACCCTGCCCCCCAGCGTCAGTGCCTCTGGGTCTGCTGCCTCCGGGCACCCCGGGTCCCTGCGTTACAGCACGCACTGCCAAGCTGGTGGCTTGGAGTTGCCTTGGGAGGCTTTCTGTCTCCTCCTAATGAAAAGATCTTGTTAGACGATCCTCCTTCTTTTTTTTTTTTTTTTTTTTTTTTTTTTCTCTAATGGAGGTCTTTTATTTCTGGATATGTCTTTTGGGATTTAGCTTGGTAAGATAGTGAGCAGTTCAAGTTACGTGCTTCTCTAGGAATTTATGAAGCTACCACTTTTCACTCCCACCTCCTGGCATGCAGCCATATGCTTGGGTAGACAGCTCCCTTTAAAGGGATGACACCCAGGTTCATGTTGTAAGATGTGAACATCAGATTTTCCCATCCTGAACTGGGTCTCTTGATGATCGGAGTCAGGGCAGCCAGAGGACAACAACTCCCATCATGGGTACTGAGGTGAAGGGGTCGTAAAAGTGGTATGCTGGCAGTCTGGGGCAACGTGGGTTCCCCCTACGCAGGACCCCAAATGTGGGATTCTTCATACAAGTATCCTGCACCTGCTGTTGATGACCTGATGCTGCGAGAAAGACGGAGTCCCACCAGTGACTGCTGCGCAATCATCTCCTTTGCTTGATGGAGTCTGGGCTCTATCAGCAATGAGAAATGGGAAAGAACAGGGAAGCCTGCCAGGTGGAATGATCCCCCTTGCCTGCAGTCTGTAACCAAAGGTACTTGGGAATATAGACTTCACCTAGGCCATTGGGGATCACTGCCT